AATGTTTGATTATACTTCTAATTAATTTATTTACCGGGACAAAAACAGATGGACTCAAACTTAAACTGATCACATATATCTGAATTAGTGCAGCAGGATTTGTTTCCATGGAAACAATAAATACCTACATAAAATCATGACCGATCTTTTGGAAGCAACTTGCTTTATCAATTGAAACATATATACACATGTTTTAACATGTACATGCACTTCTTACTTTAAGTAGGACAAGCACATAGTCAAGAGTCCCCCCACCCTCCATTGTCCTCGATTCAACTTGTTTTTGCCGTTGTTGAAATGATCTTTTGCTGTTCCTTTCGTAAGGAATCATTATACCACCACTGCGAAGGAGAGGGGGTATACTAATTTACTTTTGTATGTCAGTTTGTCCATCTGGCTGACTGCCTGTGTGTCTATACGTAGCAAATGTTTAGTTGCAGTTTTCTCAGCAACTATTCATTGAAGATGCTTGAAATTTAGCACAGTGTTTGCTAAGGCATGCCATATGTATGGTGGGTAACATTTGAGTTTAAATCTGATACAAACTTCCTGTTTATCCGTGAGTCTGTCCGTTCCATACATAAAAAATTTGGCTGAAGTGTTCCCAGCAGAGATAAGTGTCTTTTTATATACATTAAGAATGACAATCAAAATTCAGTATGTAATTTAAAGATTTTGTGATTTCGTTCTTTCTCATTAAGGCGCCGGGGTTAAAATAAATATTAGGGAAAGTACAAGTAGGTAGAAAGCATATAATAATACAAAAATAGGTCCAAAACACTGTCCGTAGGGGCTATGCCCCTGGGAGTGAACTCCCTATAAGCTTTTAAAATTAAATCAACAGAGAACCTCACTTTGATTCAAAGTGAGTGTAATATTATCTAAAGGACCCTCTCTTAACCAGTACAAAATGTTTTTTGGACATTGAGAAAAATATATTCTATAAAGGTGTTAATATTGAGCTTATTTATATGATTTTTACTATATGGGGCGTGACAATTTATCTTGGCTCATTAAAATGTTGAGAATACCTGAACTCTTTACAAATTGTGTAATATATGTGAATTTCTAATTTTAAGAAGTAAGATCTAAGGGCAGATCACTCTTACTGCAAAAAATACCATAGAATCAGAATTCTTTAGTGTGCAGTATAGAGACTGTTAAATTCTTAAGTATACATCGATATATGAAAGGAAAAATATAATTATCTGAAATAGTTTTCTGAGGGGTTAAAGTGAAGGGGGAGGCAATAAAATGTTACCACCCCTTCTCCAATATGTTAAAAAAGTGGGGAATGATTTATTGGTACATGTATTAATATTTTTTTGATAACTTATTTTTATCTAAAACTATTTGGAAACCTCCTTAAAAATATTTTCCAGAACATAAAGTATGTCATAAATGGAATACTGAGATGTCCTCATAAAATATGACTAAATCAAATAAAATATTTTTTATCTCAGAGAGAAAAAGATTTGGGCACATATATGTATGATTTCAACAACGACCATTTCAATATCCCCAATATCTGTATGTACATAAAAGGAACTCCTCTCCACTGAAAATTGCATATTTCCCAATAAACCTTAATGTATTCCATCATTGCATATTGTTTCAGTAAAGTAGGTATGACAGCGTTTGCTATGACAAAAAATCTTAATAATTAAATAATTTATTTTTTCTTTGTTGCAATAAAATAATCTGACATAAAAGAGATAAATTTCTAAGTTCTTTCAATTTTTTGCAATAACTTCAAGTTCCCAAATGAAAGGGCACATTCACCCACGATCATCGATCCCCATTCAAAAAAAATTTGCATCAACAAATTTCAGCCCTGCAGAAATTGAAAAATTGCACGTGTTTAATGATAAATGAATGAAATAAATTCTTTCAAAAAACGATGAAATACCTTTTAGGGCAACAACTTTTTACCACCCCCCTCCCCCTCTTCTTTTTTTTTCAAGCACACAATTAAAAAGCTGTTGTGAAGTATTTAGCTTTTGTCATATACAAAATTGCTTTAGTTTAATTTGGTTAACATATACCGTATAATTCCTATTAACTGCCCCTGTCCCTATAACCGCCCCAGGTCTTTTTTCAATTATCAGAAAATAAGAGCCCCCTGTACAGTGATTAAAATCATCTAGAATCGTATCAAAAGTATACCAAAATTTGAAGAATGTAAAAATGTAACTTGTCTATTATCCAATATCTCGGTGGTAATGAATCATATAGCATACTTTGGGTAGATTATCTTCACTTAAAGTACAGTTAGACATTTTAGTGGTTCTTTAAATTTTTTAAAGTTAAAAATTGACAATTTTGACATTAAATATTATAAAGAGAATATCAACATATCCGCCCCCTCTCTTCGCAATTTTCTGAGTGCCCGGGGCAGTTATCACGGTAATAGGGATTATAAGGTATAATTTTTATCAACTGATGGTTTAGATAATTTTCATCAACATTTGATTTTAATAACATTGATAATTTGCCCAAACTATAAATTATTGATATAATTAGGTTCATGTCATTATTTATGCTTTGGGTAATTAAATGTTATTTTTATAAATAACAAAAAAGGAAAAGGGTGCACAAGTTCGGAAAAATGTCCATTCCAAAGTTGTCCGTCCAACTGTTTTAATTTCGACTACATGTTTATCTGCTTTATTTTTATTTGTTTATCATCTCTAACTCATTATACAAGGTATCCATTTTCTTCCTAGATTGTCGGATTGGTAGTATTCGTATGCGTAACTATATTGTATGAGCCATATGATTTTTAAAACGAGAAAGAATTAAGAAATGGACAGTATATGGTACGTCATTAATTAACTACCAAGTGTACACGAGTTTCTCTTACTGATGATTTTTTTTTTGGGGGGGGGGTTGAATTAAATAATCATAAGTAGGAGAGAATTTAATGATTTTGGTAACATCACCAAAAAAATATCGCCAAATAAAAAAACGTACGTCCTATAAATCGTCACGTAGAAGTCAGTCCCCTTTTATTATCGTAAACCAATAGCGATTCGGCTAACATCTGTAATTATTGTTTTGTGTGGGAGGGTTTTTTTTCCGGGGGGGGGGAGTCAAGGCAAGAGTTGCAGGTCCGTAGGAAGCAATTTCAGACACTCGTAAATACTTTCAGTTCGGGGTACTATCAGGCGTTTTAATTGAGGGGACAAGAGCATATAGTAGTAATGTTAAATAGATGATAAGAAATGGCCTTTACAATGTACGACATTTTGAAGAGAAAACTGAAATCCGTTAATCCAGGGATAGTCAAAATTTATTCATTTTATGAAGTATAATTGTGTACAATGTATGTCATAGAGCTACTTTAATTCAACTGCAATATTTACAATTTAAAATCGGCTAAACTCTATCAATATATAAAAATGCAAAAAAATACATATGTTTAAAAAATGTTCTCAAATCCGTACACGTTTACTGCGAAAAAAAAATCTAGAAATCACATGACATTGAAATAGTGCCACGCTGTAAGTAAACTATGGCAATGATTATATCGGAAAATTGAAATCACGGCTGATTGCATGCTTTAGTTTTTGAGTGAATTGTTGATTAATACTATGCGAGTCATGCAGGCATACGAAAATAATGACGTCGCACCAACGTAATGTAACGTCGTTCTGAAAATACTTCTGATTAAAAATTGTAAACCTTTAAAGTTTTTTGCAAGAAATTGAGCGAGAACACATATCATTTTTTTTTATAATTCGATGCTAAAATTACTTCATATTTATTGTATCGATTAATATAAAATTCGTATGCTTCGCTTTAATGTTATGATTATGGTTTTGAAATGCGTATACCGACAGAAAACGGACATTTTACTATATATCTCATTGAAAAGGCGTCACTTGTTTTCATCAACATTAGTGTGTTTGAATTACGATAACAATCTGACCACGCAGACGAATCTCAAAATACTTTCAGAAAGAACAATTTAAAACGAGAGGAGTTAATTAGCTGACAAATTATTAGCGAATGTTTTCAGGCAGGCAGTTAACCCGCAATCTACTTTAAATATATAATATTTATAATATCAATCGCTGATGCTCGGAGACCAGTTAATTAAGTAGCTATCTTGATCCTAGTTTGGGGATTTTTTAAAGAATTTTTAAGATATGAGCCGCAACTTGGTCAACATTATCCTTTGGATATGTACAAGTTTAAATGAAAATACATATTCCGTGCGAATGAGACCAATGGCCAAGTTGCGGCTCGATGTAAACAATGTCGTTGAAAACTAGTGTGCATATGGAAAACAATAGAAATGTGACAAAACTACTAGACCCCCGTCTCAAAAGCCAGTGTCGCTCAGCATTATTTAAAAATTTCATGTATATATTATACCAAAATTTACCCTTTAGACATACATTGAAGTTCAATACCTATAAAACATAAATTTAATGAATTTTGGAATTTTATTTTGCGCAAAACATCGGAATCCAACTCTCATAGCTTGAGTGCAGTCATTCCTTTTGAAATTTTGTAGTTAAGAACTAAAAACGGTGCTTGATTTAAAACTGTTTGATTAACTGCGTATGTTTTAATCAGTAATTTTACCTGTCAGTTCTTCTATGTGTACCAACGAAAATAATCTTTTCACATCCACCTCCATGGATTTTGATTGTATTCAACCAGTACTTAACGTAATCTGAAAAAAATAACGGATAATGCACTACGAAAATTAAATTTCATGTTATAAAGACACATATCATTAAGAAATGGAGATAACTGATATAGGCAGTTATAATTGATCAGATATTGCTTTGTTAATGAAAAAAATTGACGCATGGATGAGCATATATTATTGGACCGGATTTGAATAGAAATAGCATGAATAATAAATTCCTCAAGTATTACAAATAGTATTCTTTATTGAAATAATTTTGTTTGAATTGCAGTTTTTTTTTTTTTGCTAATTGTTTTTTATTCATCTGGTTAAGTATGTTTTGCTGTTAAAATTATTCTTAAAGTTTGTTTTTTCTAATTTCTAGACAAATTATTCTGAAAGATTCAAGTTCAATACCTTTTTGGCACCAATTTGAAAAAGATGTATTACATAAGTCAAGGGGTTCATTTTTTGCAGCTCCTCTTTCTTTATTTTCCCCAAATCTTTCTACTATACTTCTAGATGCATCAACAACTATTATGTATATGGCATCTTCTCGAATAAAAGTTTGATGTGACGCATAATAGGACCCCTGTCCAGCAAAATCCAGAACATCTAATACAATATTATTTTTGTTCCCTAATTGTGCCAATATACTTTCCTCCTCTTTTAACTTCCTGTGTATGAAGGGTAGAATATCCTTTTCAACTTTATCTACAGAAAAAATATATCAATCAGTTTTCAAATATTCTCACATATGTTTCTCATATATTAAATAACATTAAAATAATCTTTGGAGGGGTAGTTGCAAAAGTTGATTAGGAGTTTACGTATCTCAGTTGAATAGGCCCTAGATACAAAAAAAACTGCTCTACGTATGAATAAATTCTAAAACAAGGTAAATTATTGACAAACAAGTTGATGAAACAAAACAATCAACAGTCTTGTTTAAAATCATCATTTCGTAAGTTCTATGGTCGATCAAATGACCTTATCAGAAAATACAAGTTATCATTGAGTCAAATGCTGACTGATATTATATTAATTGTTAGTCCTTAATTGATACACAGAATTGATGACGGATATTCCCGTATTTTCCCAATCCTGACAAGGAGCACATGGCTGGTGTGACCGGTCAGCAGGGGGTGTTTACTATTCCATGGTATCTGATCCTTTCTCTGATGTTTAGGAGGTCCATGTTTGCTCTGCTCTTATTTTGTATTGTTTTATGGTCTTTTGATCTTGAATAATGTTTGTCATGTGTTAAGTGGTATTTGTTCAAATTCTAAAGACGAGTCAAAGTGGGAAACGTGAGTTTATTCTATCACTCTCTCACACACACTCAGATACCTTCCGAAACATTGGCAAGGTTTCTCATTTTTGCTGTATATTTTTCTTCAGTGACTGGAGTAGCTTCTTCGGTTACTTTAGTATTCTTTTCTACAAGAAAGTTTTAAGTTTTAATTATTACTAGGTTTACCCGTTTCTACGGAAGAGAGCAATAATACATTTTTAAAACAATTAATATTCCATGGAATGTCCAAAATGAATAAGATACTAATGCCTTCAAAATGTTTTACTTGAAAATGAAATTAATTGTAATACGTATATTATATCTTGCATAATTTGACATGTTTTTGCAGTAACATTCTTAATACGATTGAAGGAAAACAAAAAAAATCCAAGAAAGTATCACAAAGCATATAACTGTTTCAAAATGCTTGAATTCTTATAAAATTGATGAAGAATAGTGAAAGGAAGACATTCATCTAAAAAATATTAGATCTTTGCTATCTGCGTCTTTTAAAACATGTGAGAAAATCAGAAAAACAGATAAATAGTGTTACATGTAAAATATGATAACAGGTGGTATGATATATAAAAATACTTTTATTTATTAGTTACCTTTCATTTTTTCATCTGGTTCAGTCAATTCAATACTTTCATCTGTGGGAGAAAAAAAAGTAGGTGGAATTACAGTGCAGCACATAAGATCTCCTGTTTTTAATGTTGACTTTATACGTATATCCAACTAAAACACTTAAGGATATACGATCCTCAGCCAGGAAGGATAACTCTTTAATTTATAATTTAATTCAAAAAGTCTTAAAATAAAGCTTGAAATTGAAATTTTTTCATGCAACAATTTTCATTTTATGCATCTACGTATGATTCAATGTTCTTTAAAGTTTTAACAAACGGTATTTAAAAAGTTGACATTTGTACCTCATAAAATGAAGTAAAACTTGCATATTTAAAAAAAATCAATTTTCTTTTAATTTAGTCTTAGTTACCAATGTTTATATGTATGGTTTGAAATTAGAAGTGATTTACGGTGTTTTCTTTGAAAGGAAACACTTCATACACTATGCATTATGAAACAATGGAAGTAAGTAGGAGAAAGTAAAGTCCAAATAAGTGTAAAATTCATGCAATTTTCTTTAAAAGCCTGGATACCTATGATTTTTATTCCTAATATGTATTTCTTGATCAATTATCAATTAAAAAATATACAGTAGGTAGTTCAAATTGCATTTCCTGAAAAATTATTCGAGATTTACTAATTTTCCCTATATAATATGATTAAATTTAAAGATGAATTTTAAAGAAACACCGTGGGTAAATTCATTTTAATTTGAGGATTTAGAGACATCTTTGTGAGCATTTTCAATTACTCAATGCCTGATTTTCAGAACCTGAGGATCGGATAACCTTAAATCTAATTCTAACCGCTTTAAATAAACGTTTGTTTACAATAAAATTCAATAAAGACCACAGCATATGTTTGTTTTAGATCGTCATCGATTTTAAATGAGAAACTGCAACTGAACTAGAATATCCTAAGCAAACTTCGAGGCTTGTTGAGCGAATATACACCATTTCAACGAGTTGAATAAAAGTCAATATCAAATCACACAATTATGGTTGTTCTTTTTATCTCATGCGATTTTTGCTTTTTTTTTACTTTGAAGTAACTCCTTTAAAACTATTATGAACGATTTTTATTTGTATTCAAAATGATGAAGCATAATATATGATGTTGCACTGTTGATGTGGAATGGTGAAAAGAAGACTATCATGAGGTGAAAAATATTAGATCTTTGCTGTCTGCGTCTTTTAAGGGGACGAAGGATGTTTGGTCATGTAACTCAGTTGAATTACGTTATAATCTCTGATCAAATATGTACAAAACGAGATTAAAACCATAGTACTTGTATAATTTTTTGACTGTTTGCTGGCATTCACCATCTAGTATAAAAATATCTAGAAACATTAAAAATTCCTTGCAAATATTATCAAATTACGGAATAGATTAATCCACTCTGCCGTTTAACTACACTGTGCGTCCAGCGCGCCGTTGACGTCATAATAGATCTCTTAGTACAGTAACATCAAACATGGTAAAAACGAGTAGTATAAAATCATAAAAACTGGCATAATACTGTGGTTTCATCAATATTCGTTGAGCACCAATTTTCGTGGATTTCGTTGTTGAGCAGATCCACGAATTGAAATGTTCATTGAAATACGAAATATGACATTCATTTGTATAAGCAATGCTTTTGTCCACGAAATTACGTATCCTCGAAAACGTCTGTTTTATAAAATCCACGAAAATTGATGCCAACGAAAATTGATGAAACCTCAGTATGTACATGTTGGGGTATTTTGTGAATTTCAGAACGCAAAAAATATTTTTACATAGTTGTTGACGGAAATATTCTGTGGGTATGTCTTATTTCGCTTATTTCAGAAATGTGTGACAATCTTTAAAATATATCTGATTATGTTCTAGGCACCCCGATCAACCATAGGAAACTTGAATTGAAGGTCACAAACTTGCGAGATGGCAGACCTGCATTGCCTCGTCGATGTCATGTCGTGTGCAGTAAGCATATAAGTGATAGTAATATATGTCTGAAGATTTTAACATTTTAAATTAAGTTACAGTATAAATTTATTATAAATCTGTTATCAACTGATCAATGTACTATGCTTGTTTCCGCTACTGTTCAACAGAAGATATAAATTTATCATTTCCTTGTGCTTGTCAGTTTAATAAATAATAATATGTCACAACAATAACATTTGATGTATATTATTACAACAAGTTTTATTACTTACTAGCCTTATTTGTTAAAAACATAACAATTATTAAAGTTATTAGAAAATTAAGGTGTTCCGCTGGGGGTACAAATCAAAAGGTAAAAAAGATAGGATACTGTATATGGAATATCTCATCAATAATGTTGAAACAATTGTCTGATAAGAAGGGGAAAATGAAAAAATGAATGTTATTGTCCAGAAAATATTTATATTATCGTTTTTTTCTGTATTTTAGGGTAAAAAAAAATGTTTATTTATTTACTTTATGTATAATACAACTTTTATAACAGGACATGTTACACTGCTATACATGTCGTAGCTAAAATCCATTTATTTTGGGAGGAAAACTCTTTCATTAATTTATACATGTAAATCAATACTTCAAATACAGATGAGATTGGTTGTTTAATCTTATATCCAATGTCCATTTTAAAAGATAGTGTAAGGGATGTTCATGTTTAATTCTTAGGAGGAAACAACCTTCCTTTACCCAGGAGTAGACTAGAAAAAAGACTTAAGATCAGAATGCAGGATGATTGTGCAAGAGGTGCTGGCACATGGACGATTGAGGCACATGTATAATAAATATGGACAGGACAGTTTTTCAGGGCTACAGTTGAAATTGACACCCTTATGAACACCATTTTCTCAAGGAGTGTCAATTTCAGCTGTTACCTTAAATAAATGCACTGTTTATATTATCATACGTGTACTTAGTGTCTTATAGTTGAATACACAGGGTTGAAAATTTATATCCCTTGGCCACCCTTTTTATGGAAAAATCTTTGAATCCTTACAGTACCTTTATGGTTTTCTGGTTTGTAAGTTTGTCGTCTGACTTGAAAAATTGTGTACATCCTATAAACATAATGCATGCCCCCAAAATGTGGCTACCCATATATTAGGAAATATTGAAAGAAAAAAAATAAACTCATTGGTTTTATCGGAGCAGCCCCCAATTAGTCGACCGAATTAAGTAGCGAAATGTCATTTCTTTACCATTTGACCTTTTGGTTGACCCTGCAAAGGGATATAACTATTACAAAGTGTGGATTGAAATTTGTTTTCAGATGTCATAATTTAAATTCAGAGGTCGTCATAAAGAGCCAAAGTCAAAAAGAACACAAATTGGCCTGATTTCAAAATAGGACAATTTTTGCTCTGGATATATCTACAGACTATATATTTTTTCAAAACAACTTTCTGTTTTCAATATCTCTTTCATATATTCCGTAAGAGGTCTTTAAAATAGCATATGTATATGACTGTATATGGCCAAATTTCATACATTTTACGGAACGTGATAATGACGTTGTGAATTTTAACATTCTGAATTATAAATAAAGTGGTAAATTATTTATTATAGGATTAAACGTTCTTTTTGACAAATGTATCGATGTGTAAACTCTTGACATTTTACTCATAAACAAAATAAAAGTGCGAAGATATCAGGTGTTTTTTAAATCATAGATATAGAGAAAACGGCCGGGACCGGCGATCGACTTCGACATAAGCGGGGTATTCCAAATATCCCATGTTCGAGATACTGATATTTACCTGTATATATGTATATATATATATATATATATATATATATATATATATATATATATATATATATATATATATATATATATATATATATATAGAAAGCACGGAGAAATTCACTTTTACAAGGATACTCACTTCCGCCAAAGCCCGGGGTTGAACTCTCGAACTACGGAATCTGTCTCCTAGCAGTGCAGGAAGAGCGCGTTAGACCGCTCGGCTATCATAGGCAAGTAAAAAACTTGCTTTCGATGCCGATGGAATTCTCACAACGCTGCCCTACACTACACGGTCAAATATATATATATATATATATATATATATATATATATATATATATATTATAATCTTGAGAAGTTCGTTATAAAAGAAGTTAAACTATATTTATCCTTAACGGGACTCAAAATCAGTTCTTATATCCATAAGTTCATTATATCCGAGTTCGCTATAACCATAAAATTTTATGAAGATTTGTTAAGAATTTTGCTGGGGACCCAGAAAAACTTCGCTATATCCGTGAATTCGCTATATCCATGTTCGTACTAAACGAGTTTTACTGTATTTACTTTGAATTTAAATTAATGATTGGGTTATGCCTTTCTGCTTCATAAGCAATATTGATTAACGCAAGGATGAAACAGAAAGAGAAAAACGATTTTAGTATTTCAACTTCCATCACTTTACAGAAATTATTTCATGTTTTCTTCGGAAATACATTTAGTAATTTCAGCAGCGAAAACATAGACTTTGTCATTATTCAAACTAAGGGATACATATGTTGTTTACGCATTTATTCATTTACATGTACATACTGCCAAAAATTCAACTCTGTTACTTTAATCCTTTATGAGCGGGGGTATCATAATTTGTCAGCTCAGTGCTTACAGTGCTTAAAGTTTTATTTTGAAAAGACGTAACAGAAAGGAATATACATGACTGAATAAATCAAACGGAACTGTAACAGCAATCTACTAAAGCTTTTCCTCGGAGCACTGTTGGTTTGTTCTGGCATAGGAAAGCTTTTTCGATATTTTTTTCCTTTTGAGAGAGAATTGTCAGATTTGCTTCAAGAACTCATTGTCTGATATTAATTTTTATAAATTGCAATGGAAGAAATAGTACATTGTACCATATACGCTACATGTATCTTTAATCAACCGCAGAAACAACAAGAGTCTAAAATTAATCTTAGGACTTCTGATGAAATGACAAGGACTACTGAGTATTTAGGCAATCAGCCTTTCTTTAAAATTCAAAGATATAAAGTTGCCAGTCAGCAGATGAAAAA